AACCACATTTATAATGTGCCTAAAAATTGTACTTTCATACTTCGTTAATGGTTTATTTTTATTACTAAATTAACTACTGCATTATTTACAAATACAAACATTAAGCACATTATGAATGTAGTAGTAAGTCAAGAATATAGCATTTGTAGCTGCAGTTATAAACTGCTTACTAACGTTTATTAATGTAGAGTTAATACTTAACAGATAATAAATTCACTATTTGCTAATGCTGAGTAAATTTAGTTTAGTTTTAGTTTAGTTTATTTGTTTACAGGGTCAATGCACATTAATAAACATTACTGTAAAATGTGCCAGAATTAGCCAAGAATGGCTATTTTTCATCCGTAGACCCTTTACAGAATGTTAAAAAGTCACACCTAAAATAGAAGCACAACATTAAACATTAAATACACTTTCATAAGAAATACAGTTAAGAAAGTAAAGAAAAAAAAAAGAAAAAATAAAAAAGAACAGACTGATGGGAGCAGAGGACAAAAAGCCAAAGACAACAGTACAGATGTGTCTAGAATACAGTACTAATGCTGACAATGCTGATTTGTCAATAACCAATTTCTAACATGAGACTGAAAAGAACGAAAAGTGCATGATCTTCTAATTGTTGGTGGGATGGAGTTCATAGTGTGTAGTTATTAAAAAGTGTTGTCGTTTTTTTTTTTGGAGAAAGTCTTATTTCAGCTAGAATAAAAGCAGTTTTAAATTTTTTAAACCCAATTTTAAGGTAAAAATTATTAGCCCTTTTTAAGCTTTATTTTGTTTCAATAGTCTACAGAACAAACCATCGTTATAAAATAACTTGCCTAATTAACCTAACCTGCCTAGTTAATCTAATTAACCTAGTTAAGCCTTTAAATGTCACTTTAAGCTGTATAGAAGTGTCTTAAAGAATATCTAGTCAAATATTATTTACTGTCATCATGACAGAAATAAAATAAATCAGTTATCAGAAATGAATTATTAAAACTATTATGATTATAAATGTGTTGAAAAAATCTGCTCTCCGTTAAACAGAAATTGAGGAAAAATAAACAAGGGAGCTAATAATTCAGGGGGGAGTTCTAGCTGAAATAAATCAAATAAGACTTTCTCCAGAAGAAAAAAATATTATCAGACATACAGTGAAAATGTCCTTGCTCTAATAAACATCTTTTAGGAAATATTTAAAAAAGAAAAACAATTTAAAGGGGGCTAATAATTCTGACTTCAAATGTATATATATTAGTTTTACATAATTTGCTGTTGATTTACTCACCCTCCGGTCATTATTAAGTTGGTGTACACATATGTCAATTACATAAACAGACTGTCTTAGTTTTCTTACTTTCCCACTGTCTCTTAAAAAAAATAAATGAATAAAATTAGAATAAAATGAATGAATTAAAAACAAACATATCCTTTGAAAAAGAAATCAAATACATTTTTGTTAAACACAGCGTAAAACAATTAGCTCACAAACATTCATTCATTCATTTTCCTTCGGCTTATTCCCTTAATTCATCAGGGGTCGCCACAGCGGAATGAACCGCCAACTTATCCAGCATGTGTTTTACACAGCACGTCTTTCCAGCTGCAATCCAGTACTGAAAAACACCCATACACTCTCACATTCACACACACTTATACACTATGGCCAATTTAGTTTATTCAATTCCCCTATAGCGCATGTGTTTGGACTGTTTTATATTTACTTTATATTTAAATTGTTTTTGTATTTGATTATTTTTTCTAAACATCTTCTCATAAAGGTTTGGAACCACTTGAGAAAGAGTAAATAGTGAGTATTTTTAATGTTTGGGGGTGTGTACTATCACTTTAATGTTCTGGTAAATAAGAAAAGAGCGTGAGAAAATGAACAGCAATTTTGACCTATTGTTTGTTTAATGCTACAAATACTGTAACTCGTAATCCAAAATGAGTCGACTCGTTTCATATCACACACACACACACATCTTCCATGTCTATGTGTCAGGTTGTTAATGTTGCATGTGTATGTTGCATTTCCTGTCTGCAAATATCACAACTTATCATGTAGAAGCTCGTTTCTGAACGACATTACATTAACATCGCTGTTTACAAGCCACCTGAAAATGTAAGCATCTGCGCCATACTGTAAAGGTTAACAAGTAAGTGGCACTGTTTAAAGTTTTAAGACTAGTTTGACAACAGAGTGGTGATCTGTTCTCCTGTTTCAGCACATTCCAGCACTAAGCATCCTGTCATGGTTGTGGTGTTCTGGTCACAAGCCGATCGATAGAGCTTAATTGTGGGTAATGTGAGCTCTCTCTATCTCTAACAGCCCCGCGGTCGATATATACCGGTATACTGCAGGATTGAAGCTTTTTATTGAACGACAACAACGTACACGGGACGCTCATAGCATTACATATGACATAAACAAGGGCTGGGTTGACTAAATATTCATGATTTGTTTCAGCTTTGCTTTTGATTCACAAGCTTGCAATTCAGTTCTACCTATTTGACTCTTTATATATGTGGGTCAAATATAAAATGTAAGCTATAAAATGTAACAAGATGCTTTGTTTTGTACTTATTTATGTGCCCTGTTGGACTATCACACTTACCATGATTTACAGAAGATGCCCACTGAAGTGTCACTCAGTCTAATGATAACACATCGACATCGATAACAGTTCATCAAACCGAGCTTGGCTCAGTCAGAAGCACCGCTGAAAGCCTCCGTCATCCAGGTTAAGTTTCTGGAGGAGTTTATGAGCTCACAGAGCTGGGTGCACCTCTGAAAGGATCTAGTGGAGTCAAACACGGCCCTAAATGTATCAACGCTATTTTTCAGCCTTTATAAAGCACATAATACTGTTTTTTTCACAATAAAATCCTTGTTAGCTATTTAGCAACGAAGCTAGAGTCACCGGGCAGACTGAAGCCCTGCCCATCATGCAAATCTGCATCTGTTCTGAATTTGACGCGCGAATGAAGTGGGGTTTGATGAGCGAATGAAGCAAGTAAACTCAAATGTTCACGCGGCTATTTACGCATGAATATTGTGATTAATCCGTGCGTTCCGCGTCTGGTGTAAACACAGCATCAGGCTGCAGGTGGAACAGACTGCTGTATGAGGACTGACTGGGTCGGTGCTGAGGCGGGGGAGGGGCCAAACCCGCAGCTCATTGAGAAGAGTAGGGACGGTACAGTATGAGCACATGAGAGTCAATAAAAATCTCCAGTAACACACATTAAGGGCTCTGACGTTCCATGCGCAGAGCGCAAAACGCAGGGCGCAAACTCTTTCAGGGTTGTCAGAATCCATATTTGCTAATTTAAGGACAGGATGGCGCATAGTCTAAAATGGTTGAGTTTATTTTCTTAATGAGTTATAGGTGTGTTTTGAGAATAAAGCAATCAGAGTCTCAGGCTTTAAGAGCCTTGCGTCGCGCCATAAGCGCATTTGCTATTTACATGACGTAAAGTAAGTGGAAGTGCAAAAAATTAGCATTTCACAAGCAAACAGTTAACATTATTTTAAACTGAAAACTGTTAAACAGAGCATCTACCGCACGAGAATGAGAGATAAATGATCTACTTTCACTTTCGCACTCGTGAATAGGGAAACCTTTACGCACAGACATCACTTAGCCTATAAAGAATTAATTGCGTTTGTTAAGCGCAAATATTTGTTTTTATTTCTAAATTCATTTTCTATTTCTAAATTCAGTACTAATTTCCAGCAAACGAATAAATGAATAATAATAACAAAATGAGCTCAAAAAACTGAGTTATATCCTAAAACACATGCTGTGCCCCATATGGTCTAAAACCTGCAGGTGGGCAAATCTAAGCTTGTTTTTAATAAAACAAATATACATATGGATATAATAAATAATACTGCTAATAATAATAACATTATACAAAAGCAAATTGTAATGAATGAACTGAAAAAGCCTCCCGAGATGAAGAAGGCATTAAAGCAGTGGATTTTCATATTTATGTAGGCTAGAAAATAATGTTTTGTAATATTTTAATCCTTTATATTTATATCCTATATATATTCTTAATATATCCTATATATATCCTTAATATTTAAATTTTTTCATATGTAAAGATATTTGTGTATTGCTCTACATCTTGTGTGTAGGCTATTAAGCAGTGTGTAAGCGAGGCGCAACTCTGCGCCGGAGTTTAGACCGGGTTTGTTTTGGTCTAATGAAAAATCTATTATAGTTTCTCAAAATAGCAACTCGCCAGCAGTGCGCCTTAGAACGCCTTCCTCTTTAGACCAGAACGCCTATGGACACAAATGCATTTGCTATTTAAAGAGCGTGGTGCAACGCCTCAAAACGACTCTTGCGCCAAGCTGAAACTAGCTAACAACTATTGCGCCGCGCCTTGCGCCACATTGCGCCGGGTGTATGACGTGCTCTAAGTTGCTAGTCGCTTTTTTGAAAAAAAATTTCGCCAAGAAAAGTTGGCAACACTGGGAAGAAATGATCATCCGCGCTCGCAGTTTAACAGTAGCTAACTGAAGTGACTAGCATCATGACGACGATCTGTCACTGAACGTTAAAACGCGCCAAAACCGGAATTTATTATTAAATGATGATATATTACATTAGCAAGTAATAATCATGAGGTTTTATTTTGTAATAAAAATAAGTAAAATCGAAAGCTACGACTTTGCTTTGTGTCAGAAGTAACAAGCCAAGACCCTATTTCGAACAAATAAAGTGAAGACTTCGATTTTAAAAGATATCAGTATCTTCATGCAAATATCTTACTCATTATGTAGTTTCACTTTCACTTTTATTCTCCAGATGCTAATGCAATGGCGGAAGGTAACGTAACAATATATTTATCCATCACGTCAGGGCATCTACATGTGGTTTTGGTATTTGCACATTCCCTTTCTGTTTGTTTGTTTGTTTGTTTGTTTGTTTGTGTTTTATCATGTCATTCACTGTGTTTAACTCTCTTCACTAACACTCATCTCACCCTTCATTCGCCTCTAGGCCGTCAGTGCAGCGCCAGAGTTTCTAATGCGTGACTGAGGGTATGTACATCATCTTTATTTTTACTTTTAAAACCCATTTTGAATACAGGGGAAAGACTTCTTTACGAAGTTTTTAAGTCACAGTATGTATGCAAATCTTTTGTCCTGCAGTGTGATTTGATTTGAACATGACGATGCTATCAAATACCACACATAGCTATCATAAGTAGGCTAATAACGCATAATCATTAACAAAGAAGCATTGCACTGTGTGCATTTAAAGAGAGTTTTGCAATATTTATTGTAATATATGCACAAATATGTTGTACTTGGTGTATACTACAGTTAGTTTATTCTTTAAAACTATTTCTGGTATTATAAGCACACTGAAATGATGGATAACTGAAGGACTGAAAGACAATATGCGTTGATTAAGGAGGTATATTACTATAATCAATGTAAATTAATTTTGTAAGTAAGTTGTTTGATCATAATGTGAGTATTTACACCAAAATGCACATCGTAAATGTTATCCAATATTATTAGTAATAAAATGAATATTAATATATTTACATATTATATTAACATTTTTAATTTTATGTATGTGTTTAATGTTTTGAATGATATTTTAAAATATATGCATATAATTACAACACATAATATACAACCCAATAACTTTAGCACTTGTTTCTGTAATGTCAGGTTTATTTATTTGGATGTTTGAGTTATTCACAAATTATTGTATGTTAAATATTATAAATGGCATTAAGTACACAATCTGTCTCAGTGTGAATGCATGCAGAAAAAGATTTATTGTATGAATTTCATAGTTTATATAATTAGGAGCTCAAGTAATATTGGCATCAATTAAAATAAATATATTTCATATTTTTTAAAATATTATAAGCAGTATTTATAGCTAAATATTGTAAGCATATATATTTATTTCATGTTTCTTATTATTCCTATTTATATTTTATAATATTATTTGAAGTTTAATGAATATTGGCACAGATAAAAAATATAAATACAATTTAATATGTTTTTTTTAATTAAATATACAGTTGAAGTCAGAATTATTAGCCCCATTTAAAAAAAAAATTCTTTTTGAAATATTTCCTAAATGATGTTTAACAGAGCAAATTTTTTTACATTATGTCTGATAATATTTTTCTTCTGGAGAAAGTCTTATTTTTTTTGTTTCGGCTAGAATAAAAGCAGCTTTTAATTTTTTAAACACCATTTTGAGGACAAAATTATTTATTAAAAATATGAAAATAGGTTGGGGTTTGTTGTGCGTGAACTAAAGGGCGGGGAGGAAGGTGGGCACGAACTTAAGATGGCCATGGGGAGCGGTTATGAAGATGGTTGCGCATGCGGTCTGAACCAAAAAGCTGAGTTTTTTGGGAGACGGAACAATATGGGAGATGGGTCTGAAATACTACTGGGAAAGAATTGAGTGCAGGTATGGTCTGCACAACAAACCACCATTATACAATAACTAGCCTAATTACCCTAACCTGCCAAGTTAACCTAATTAACCTAGTTAAGCCTTTAAATGTCACTTTAAGCTGTATAGAAGTGTCTTGAGCAATATCTAGTCAAATATTATTTACTGTCTACATGGCAAAGATAAAATAAATCAGTTATTAGAAATGAGTTATTAAAACTATTATGATTATAAATGTGTTGTAAAAAATCTGCTCTCTGTTAAACAGAAAATGGGAAAAAATAAACAAAGGGGGGCTAATAATTCAGGAGGGGGGGCTAATAATTCTGACTTCAACTGTATATATACAAAATTTAAATATTGCTCTAAGCAAGATCAGGTATGTTTTTTACTAATGTAAATGCAATCAATTTTAATTTCATGTTTTCTTTAGTTTGTGTATGGTTATTAGTTTGTATTGATATTGATATTTATTTCAGACTAACATTTGCATGTTTTATTAGTCAGCTGGTTTGCTGTCACACAAACTTCCGGCTGTTTTAATGTTGTCAGGTGCTTGGCTCTCACACACTCTCCTGTTTCCATTGAGCATCCATCAATCCCATTAAATATATTCACTCTTCCTGTCTTATTCCACCCTCACTAATGCGCTCTGTCTCCCGAGGAATCGTTTTAAAAGCTCTTACTAGACAAACATAATAAAAAGGGTGTGTGGCTGTCTGAACCGCGATGAGGAGCGCAGGAATCCACACACACGGGCTGTTTTTGTTGCTCTGTTGTCTAATCTAGCTGATTAACACAACACAGTGCAGGTTGTGTTTTAGCGAAGTACACCTGCAGTTTGTGTGTGTGTGTGGTCAGGCTGTGAGCGTCCTGTTCTCAGTCTGCATGCGCACGTCCTTTGTTTTAATGTTCAGCTCTTTAGTTTTTTTGTGAGATTTTAACACAGATTTTCTATATGTTTGTAAATGTGGTGAGTGGATTACAAGTGTGCAGCATTTTTACACATACTTCATGTGTGATTAGAAATCTAAAAGTGTGTAAAGATGAGCTTTGATGCTCTTACATTAGCATGAGAGGTAATAGAATTAAAAGGAAATTGTTATTTTGGTTGGTAATAATATAGAGTGGGAGTTGATTTTGTCCATTAATATACATTTGGATGATTAAAATTGTATGTTTACATCTCAAACTCTGTGTTAGATTAATTTGAAAATATTATTGGTTAAATATCACTATGAATATATTTACATTTGCTTAAAATATTAAGTATTATATATTAAATATATGATTTTATATGTATATATTATTATTATTATTATCATAATTATTATTATATATATATATATATATATATATATATATATATATATGTATAATTTAAAATTTCTAAATTCTGCTTTTAAATATTGATATATTTATTATTGAACTAATTCATTTATTTATGTGTTTAAATAATTATTATGTAATTAGATTGTTTTATTTATTCATATATACTTTCACCAGCCACTTTATTAGGTACACTAGCACCAGGTTGGACCCCCTTTTGCCTACAGGCCTGCCTTAATCCTTTGTGGCATAATTTCAACAAGATACTGGAAATATTCCTTAGAGATTTTGCTCCATATTGACATGATAGCATTACACAGTTTCTGCAGATTTTTCGGCTGCACATCCATGATGCGAATCTCCCGTTCCACCAGATCCCAAAGGTGCTCTATTGGATTGAGATCTGGTGTCTCTGCGGGCCATTTAAGTACAGTGAACTCATTGTCATGTTCTAAAAACCAGTCTGAGATGATTTACCCTTAATGGCATGGCACGTTATCCTGCCTGAAGTAGCCATCAGAGGATGGGTACACTGGTCATAAAGGGATGGACATGATCAGCAACAATAGTCAGGTAGGCTGTGGCGTTAACACGATGCCCAAAGTGTGCCAAGAAAATATCCCCCACACAGATTACCTTGCCCATGTCTACATGTCTAAATGCATTGAGATGCTGTCATGTGATTGGCTGATTAGAAATTTGCGTTATTGAGCAGTTGGAAAGGTGTACCTAATAAAGTGGCCGGTGAGTGTATTAAAGTGCTTATTAGGTAACATGTTTCAATTTTATGTATATATTTTTAGCATGATGTTTTAACAACTTAATTAATTATATTGTACGTAAAATAAGTCAGTTTTAGCTATATTTAATGCATATTTGCAACTAATTTTATTAATGTTGTAAATAACACTAATCAGACATTTTACTAAATATATATACAGGTTTAGTTAACACAGAAATTCATTTCACATCAACGTTTTTAGCTCTTGTGAAAATGTGTCGTGTTTGACTGTTAAATTTGTGCACATTGACGTGGCAAAAAATAGAGAAGCGTGTGTGTGTGTGTGTGTGTGTGTGTGTGTGTGTGTGTGTGTGTGTGTGTGTGTGTGTGTGTGTGTGTGTGTGTGAGTGTGAGTGTGTGTGTGTGTGTGTGTTGTGCATATTATATTAGAACTGACTCAGCAGATTTCTGTGTGTGTGTGTGTGTGTGTGTGTGTGTGTGTGTGTGTGTGTGTGTGTGTGTGTGTGTGTGTGTGTGTGTGTGTGTGTGTGTGTGTGTGTTCAAGCTGTTGTCCTACTTTCAAAGGAAAGTTTTCCTTCAAGAGTATTTTTTTTCTGTGTTCAACCTGCGGCAAACTTTTCCCACATTCACTTCTTCCTCTCCTAAACAAACACACACACACGGAGAAATACAGATCTGACATGTGGGTGAAAGTCGCTGCCAGTCTCTTCACTTGAACGCTTGCTCACAAAAGCCTGACTACTAAACTCTCAAAAACACAAACATGAACACAAAACACTTGATTATCATTAATATTACTGTGCAAAAAAATAAATAAAAAAAAAAAAATTCCAAAAAGCGCCTTAGTTTATATCGGGATTACTGTAACTCTGAGTTTCTTCTGTGTTACAGTTTTAACATAATTTATTTTGGCTTTTAACATTAGGCTCAGGTATTTGGCAAGTTAAAATTATGATTAGTTGCTTTATAGGTGAATTATTAAAACATTCACTTATTAACAAACCATATATAAGTAAAAGATGTAGATGTATGGATTTTGCATCAACTGCTATTTGTGTTCATCTCATGATTACTGTAATTCCGACACGGCGTGTATGCTGCAGACGATCCTGATTATATTACGCATCTGCAGGCTTTATGAGCTCACGGTCAAGCGAAGTGTTGTAGGATGTTCAGGAGGTTGTTGAAGAAAGCAGCCAGTGGTCCACAAGAGCATATCTCAAACAGGTTATTCAGCTTCTTATTACAGGGGAAGTGTATGCTTGCTGGAAAACTCCTGCAGTAATTACTTCATCTCTGTAATTACTTTCATTCAGTCTGTTCTAAAACCCAGAGAGCCGGGTACCAGGAGACGCCTTTATGTAACTCTTTTAAAAATGCTGGACAAGCAGCATCCTTTATTTGTTTACACATTTGATTTATATATATATATATATATATATATATATATATATATATATATATATATATATATATATATATATATATATATATATATATATATATATATATATATATATATATATATATATATATATA